CAGACGGATCCAAGGACGATGGCCAAGTTGCCAGCGCTACAGTCATTGGAGCCAAGACTGTCTCCTCTAGGATCCCCGACAACAGTTCCATTTTCACCGCTGAAGCCAAAGCTATCTTCTCAGCTTTGACCTACATTCAACAGCAAAATCATTCCAAAAACTTCATCGTTTTTACAGATTCATTATCCTGCCTTCAAGCACTTCTAAACGTGACTTCAAGTCATCCAATCATCCTGGACATACTAGAACTGTACAACGACCTTTCTACTGGCCAATATGACATCGTCCTCTGCTGGTTGCCGGGTCACGTCGGCATAGCAGGTAACACCAAGGCCGATGCTGCAGCAAAAGCAGCTCTTGAAAAGCCCCTATCTCCACTGCTAATCCCGTACAGTGATTTCAAACCCACTATCAGAAGCTACACTCGGGACCTGATGCAAAAAAGGTGGGACACTCAAGTAGGAAGAAACAAACTCCATGAATTGAAGCCAACAATCGGTTATACCTACTTGGGTTGTCAGTCAAGACGTGATGAGGTAATTTTACGACGATGTCGTATTGGCCACAGTCGATTTACACATGACTATCTGCTAAAAACGGATGGGGATGGACCCCCCATATGTCTCTCCTGCGATGAGGCTTTCACCGTCAAGCATATTCTGCTTGACTGTGTGGACTTTACATCTGCAAGGGACTCGCATTATCACGCAACCAATCTGAAAGATCTGTTCTCCAGCGTGAACGCTCATCTGATACTGAACTACCTGAGGGAAGTTGATCTATATCATAAATTGTAACTGTGTAATGTCACTAACAAATTTACCTGCTTTTAAACTTAGTCCTATGACATTCTCTGTTCCAAAATGACAATGTAATGAATGTGTGTCTTTGAAACGAAACCACTTTGTACTTACAATGTATATTAATGCAGACTTGTTCTCGTCACTATATGGCTGGAATAATGCCGATGTGACGTAAAGCCCAACTCAACTCAACTTCTAAATTTGTGTGCAGGGCTTAGCATGACCAGCCGATTGATAGAACCAGGCCCATTCTACCACCTGTGTAGGTGAAGTAAGAGTTGAAGTGGTGTTTTTGGCAAAGGAACACTATTCCAGGAACTCCTGCCCTCCACTGACACAATGGCGCAACCCACGGCAAACAGGTTGCTCAATTTGGTCGCCTCTTACGACCAGCAATGGGGTGTTGTGGGCGCATTCTACCCCGGGTCAACACGGGGGAAGAGCTTTTAGCATTACCCAGCACTCACCACAAGGAGCTTGCTCTTCGCGAGTGCCGATTGCCAAGTACAAGATGGAATGGAATGGAGAATCCGACGTACGCGAAGCTCTACGACTTCGTGGTGTGGTCTTCCATACAGTATGGCGCAGCAATCTTGGGAACCTTCACACTCTCTACCATTGATGCCCTACAGAGACGAGGTATGTGCTTCTTCCTCGTACGCCCACAACAACGCCGTCATGGGAGATATGGTGTGGATATGACAATGGGAACCAGTGTCTAGACTCTATAAACGGTTATGTCTGATCTCATGTGAAAGGCTATCATGAAAAGTGTATAGCTGGGCCAACAGAGAAGCAATAGGAGAAACTGGAATTTCAGGATTCATGCAAAGTATAAACTACATTAGGATTACTTTAATAACATTGTAAACACATTTCCGATACAGCATGTTGCAAGTGAAGTGAAAACCAAAATGTTTCAATCTTTCCAAAACGAGTGGACAACAGTGATCCGACGTCATCAAGGTACCCGAGGTACCGGGGTAACAAGTTACGAATCTTTACAGTAGATTCACAAGTTTGAATTCGTCACTGAGACATTCGCCATTATTGCCATTGAGAGAGTACCGACGTCAACATTGGTCGAGTTCAGCCAGTCGTCATCTCTCTGGCCAACTCCTATTCATAATCCAGTGACTCCGACACTGATGAAAACTTATTCAGTCTCATATAGTGATGAATCATATACTGAACAGCAAAAGAAACGCAAGTGTGGCTTTTTGTCAAGTTTTTGAATAGAAGACAACCCAAATTATGTCGAATCATTTATTCTATAGAAAACAGCTTAAGGTTGCTGTTGACATTGAATTGCAATAAGTTCAAATTGATCACAGTCCGTCAAATGGAGATACCCCTGAACACGAAAAGTCTCTTTAGTAACGCGTATAGCCACCTTGAGCTTGCACACAGGCCGTGCAACGTGGCCTCATTGAGTTCACTAGAGTCTGAAAGAATGCCTGAGGCAACTGGTTCCGCTCAAACACCAATCTCTATTCCAGCTGTGCAAGTGTGAGTGGCTATCTACCTGCAGCAATCCTCCGTCCAATTTCGTCCCAGAATGTTCAATGGGAGCCATATCCGGGGAAAGAGACGTTAATGTTGTTCTGAGCCAGATAATCCATCGACACCCTTGCTGTGTGAGGGCTGCAAACGTCGCTGGCGTTGTTGACGTGCCAAAATTGGCCCCACATATGGCCTTCGGCAGTGGATTCCAGCAGCCCGAAGACGACGCCTAATCGCATCGCTTGGCACTGCTCCCCTTGACCCAAGAACTAAGGCTGCTGTTACTGTTGCTGCTTGAGGTCGGTTCCTTAGATGAGTGACCCGGATGAACCGATCTTGCGCATAAGTTGTCACTCGTTGCCGTCCGGTACGGGGACGATCAGCAGGAACCCGCTTTGCAGATGACGTTAAGCAAGTCGTGTAATGGTGGTCATATGACAGCCCAATTGTCTAGGTACAGCGGTTGCAGTGCTACCTCCGTGTAATTTTCCAATGGCCATTCCCCTCTGCTCAGTCGTTAGCCTAGGCGTCGTTTGTGTGGCGTGTACACCTCCTAGCGTCAATACTGAACTGTTTTTTGACACACACCTTTATAAGGGATACCTCAGAGTGAAATGCATGCTTTTCATCCATAAACTTCGATGCACGTGCTAAAAATATGGTTTTGCTGCACTGTTGGTGTGTTTGTGCGAATGTTTCGTATGGACGTCAAATTGCATGACATCATCTCATATGGGATCATTACGTCACTTTACCATGAACGTTCCATAAACAGGAACGCTTACCTTCATGAGATTTCATTTTTTTTTAACTTGCGTTTCTTTTGCTGTTCAGTATACTTGAATCATCATGTGATATTGATCACTAAGAAGAACCTGTTCACCGCTTGCTATAGTGTACAGTACACAACCCTGTGCACTTAAAACAACCCGCGAATCCGCTGGTATATATGACCAGATGGTGGCCACATGAATACGTGTAAACACCTAGTTGCGGCAATGTGCAGTGAACTTGGACAAAGTACTGTGACTGTGCTCAAGTCCACCCAGTTGAGATTGATAATATGATGTGCCGTTGAGATTGACATCCGATGATCGAGGAAAAAATACTAGCGCCTGCTACTCTCCACCCGTTGGTCGAGGGATGATGGATAATTAGATGATCATGCAATGAAGCTACATAACAGTAACTAAAGCGCTAGTAAAATCAATTGAATGACAGTTGGCCTAACTATAAATAGATAATTCAACCCTCGCTCTTTGTCGGCCCGGTGGCGTTAGCCCGGCTCTGAAAGATGCGGTTCTAATCCTACTAGGGAAAACATTTGCACATTTAAGTTGATCTTTGACGATATTCCAATTGATTTCAAACACTAACATATCATCTGAATTTAAATGTTGATGTTAATATAGAGTTAGGAAAAAGTAGAACCGGGGAATAGCGCTATGAGCATACCTGGTGTGGAGTTTGGCGCTATATAAATGGACACATTATTATTATTATTATTAATAGGTCTTACTTACGAAAAGTAAAACCTGGGAGCAAACAAAAACCTCAAATGCGGTTATTCCGGGAAAAGAAGCAATAGTGAGAAGCAGCCTTCAGGTTTATATATGCAAATCAATTCTGGAGGTCGGGGTTTGATTAATGTGGAGTCTCTTCATAATAGAATTTTATTGTGTACTTTTGCACATATTTATTTATGATCCTCGGGTGATGCATGTCAAGACTCATGACAAAAGCAAGGAATTCCACGGCTATTTTAAGCATGCCAAGGTTGTTGGACAGAATCTGAAATTTGAGGTTGATTTTGTTGATGGCAATGTACTTCTGGACGGTACAGCGATGGGAGTAAACCAGGTGACGTCCTTCACCAAGTCTGCCCACATTCGATTATTTGTGGAGAAGCTTTCTGAGGAACCATTGCATCGTGTGTACATGCAGTGTGTGGAACAGAACGGTAATTCAACCGATTCCTTCGCCTGGATGAAGTCGGCTGGTCTTAAATGTGAAACTGAAGGCTTTCTTTTTGCTGTCCAGGACCCTCTCGCAATCGCTAAATGTCATTCTAAACGAAAATATTTGCATGAAATGTCGATTGTGCAATGAATTTACAGAGACTGTCCAACAACTCGTCAGTGGATGCCCTTCTTTGGCACAAACAGCATATCTTAAACGACATGATGACATGACTCGTTGCTTCTACTACCGTCTTCGCCATGCCTGTGGCTTTGACACCGAGGTCCATCCATGGTACGACCCTGAACATGTCCACGGCGTCATGGAAAATGATGCTTTCAAACTTCTCTGGAATAGGCCTGAGAAGAATTCCGCAAACAAACCGGATCATGTCCTTTTTAATAAAGCCAATGAATATATTTATATCATTGAATTTTCTGACCCTTTTGACAGCAATATGATTGGCAAGACTCAGGAAAAGCATGCTAAGTATGCGGACTTCGTCTTTGAAATGTCTCGCTTGCATCCCAAGTACACTGTCGTCAGGCTCCCCATTGTTCTCGGTGCCCTTGGTTTGGTACCTCCTGATTTCTTTGCGCAGACCAGGTTCTACACCGGGAGCACAACCCTTCTGACACTCTGGGTAATGCAGAAGGCTGACTCTTGTTTTGTTCTTCAGTTTATGTAACTTAACAATTGAAATTCAAGATACTTGTGATCCCAACTATGTTGCAGGTGGTGCATTGCAGGTCGGGTATGAAAAACGACTTTCCGAATTTGACAAGTTTGAAAACCAATTTGAGGTAAGTGATTGTATACTAGCCACATAAAGAAAATATTATCCCAGTTGATAAGTACGATAACAATGTCTAAGGTACATATAAACTTTAATGGAGGGATCATGAGACCATAACAAGTCGGGAGAATTTCAATTGAAAAGTCAATCACAATGACGTCACGAGTCCACAAGCGGGAAGTCCTGGGATGGTTCGGGCAGTCATCATCGCAGTCTGAAACCTGTGGCGAAGATGGGTCACCCTTATCCATCTGTCCTGTCTTGGCGTTGTTACACGTGGACGTCCAGAACGTGGCCGATCAATTACGTCATTTGTGTTCTGGTAGCGTCTCACCAGTGCAGAAATGGTGTTCCGGTGGCAGTGGAAATGTGCAGCCACTTGTCGTCACTTGACATTACCCCACGGACCATCCCAATGGCTCCATGACGTTGTGCAGACGTGAGCCTTGGCATGCTATGCGTTTCAATAGCCGTTTAATTTTTTGAACGATCCCGGAATGCACGTGCAACAACATACTGCACGTCTCAAGGACGAACCCGCTGACGTCACGGAACGTGGCACGTGCATGCATGTTGGATACATGTCACTAATCTCTGAGTTTAAATCCTTATGTGTCTACACAGGTTTGATGAAATTAGATTTTAAATTTTTGTATGCACAGTTTCTTTATGTGCCTAGTATACTTTTGTATTTCTTAGTTTTGTATCTCAGTTGCTACCTCGGGTTATGTTAAGTTTCCAGTGCTTGTTGTACGACATGCCTCAGTGGATGGGGAGTTCAATCGAAAAGGGAACATTTAGTCACACTGGGGATTTCTTGATATAAAAATAGTTTCAGTATTAATTGAAATGTTTGCCAAAGCATTTTTAAACACACAGCTTACTTCTTGCTCGTTAGCAATGCATCTCCAAGTCTGCTGTGAAGACCAAGTTTGAGCAGCACACTGTGAGCGGCAAATCAATCACATCCGATGTCAGGGGAATCATTGAGCAGGCATATACCACAAACCTGCAGTTGAGGTAAGTCACACATTACACTAACACTACACAAAGACTCACAATAATGCCAAGAAGAGTGACTGGAGTGACAGACTTCTGCCTATACTTCATGTCAGTACAACACTTGCATCCCTGTATAATGTGTGTACTCAAGATATTTAAGTCTGTTGGCTGCAAGCTGGTCTTGTTCACATTTTTTAAGGATTTTACTACTTAATTAACGGAAGAGTGAGTGAGTGAGTGAGTGAGTTTAGTTTTAGCTATATTCCAGCTATATGGCGGCGGTCTGTAAATAATCGAGTCTGGACCAGACAATCCAGTGATCAACAGCATGAGCATCGATGTGCGCAATTGGGAACCGATGACATGTGTCAACCAAGTCAGCGAAACTGACCACCCGATCCCGTTAGTCGCCTCTTACGACAAGATAGTCGCCTTTTTATGGCAAGCACATGGGTTGCTGAAGACCTATTCTACCCCGGATCTTCACGGGTCATTAACGGAAGACCAAAAGATATAGTTAAAAGTAAACGACTTTGTACGTTACCATGCTTCTATGAATCTCCAGGGTATATGTTCCGATGAATCTCCACAACTTCCTTGGATGCATCTATGTCTCGGCCCGATAATTTTATTACTTCCCTTTACTGGCTCCGCATTCTCACAGTAGCCAATCAGCTAAGACGCCGTAACAACCGAGCTTGCCAGTGTCAACAAAGATAGCGGTCGCAGCCTCGAAGGTCTGTTGTCAGTGCGACTCAGACTTTGGGGGAAATCATACAGACAAATTGACAGGTCTGAAACTTTAAAAAAAATATATGCAAGAACGCCTTCTACCTCTTTCAGAGTACCGCTGCATCAGTTGTGTTGCCAAGTTTAATTGGTTAGATAATTTAAGAAGCGAAAGTGAGTTGTGATTGGTACGCTCAACTTCCCAGCGTAGACATCTGATTGGATATAAAGCCAGCCAAGGGAGCCGTAAATGCATCCAGGGCATAGTGGAGATTTATCGTAGTGTATACCCTGGAGATTATCGAGGATGGAGTGGATGTTGTGAGACATGAATTTTGGTTATTATGACATTGGATTTTGTGAAACATAACAATAGTGGAAAGGAGGTACTGTGGACAACATTTTGGCTCCTATGTCTCTAGAACTGATCAGAAAAAAAAGCGACAAGAGCGAAATAATGAACTGGTCGACATTGAGAGGGATCTTTTCTCTCTGGCCAATAAGATGGAGACAGAGATCCCTACCATGGTTAAAGATGTGCTAAAGGAGGTAAGGGCATTTCAGTTCTTCTGACGTTTACTCTGTAGGGTTAGAATAGGATTCTCAGGAGGGTTAGAATAGGTCCTGACCTGCTGGGTCAGAATAGGTCTCATGCGATACATATTTACAGGAACAATGAGGTATCTTATTTGATCTGATGGTTAGGCTTTGTTTATTGTGTGTTTTCATTCCATGGCGGCAAGTGAGTTTGACATAGTAATATTAATGCCAACCACATTCTGTGGACTTTAATATTTACAGGCCTTTTAAATATGGAAGGCATACTGTTTACCTGACATATAACAACATTATGTCACTGAACCTTTAAAGGATTACACTTTGGAATTGAAACCACTACCTTCATGTCCAATTTGTTAAGTTCCACCAAATAATACAGGTTGACACAGCGCGCTGAGTGAGGAGATCCGCCGACTGTCTGCCCTGGTGGAGGAATATGACCACCCCTTCCGTGCTGACAATGTCGAAGAATACAAGGAGGTGGGCACAACAACACACACAATTGTATCTCAACCCAAACTGTAATGCTCATTTCAATGAGTGCGTTAAAATTTAAAGAAAGTCACATCGGCCGTATTTCAGCCATATCGTGACCATTAGAGTTCCATATTAAAAGAAACCTAGTCAGTATAAATACCTGTCAACGAAGGACAGTAAAATAGCTACAAGAACACAGGTGAAAATTTAAAACTAGCACATAAGCCCTCTCAGGGCGACAATAAGTCTACACTACTTCAACCCCCTTTGAGAGTACTGCCACAAACGATCTCAGCTATCAGATGTGTTCGTCCAAATATACAGATCCTTCATTATATACCAAACATATTGATCAAAAAAAGTAAACGAGAATTTATGCTAAAAAAAATCATTCGTGGTTAAAACTTTGAAATAGTTATCCCTTGTGATGGAAAAATCTACACAATCAAGCAGGACATGCTTGATTGTTATTCTTTCATCACAAGGGATACAAAATGGAGAATCTTCAACTTTTAACAAAATATAATATTCATGCATGTAACGAGAATGGCCAATGCTAATGTGACCTCGGCAGCTTTTACACGTGACATCCTTACATCTGTACATCAGACCAAGCAATTGACATTGTTATGGTGTTCACTTAGTTGATGAAATTCACCATATAGTCTGGTAGGATGGGTACAGCATTCAAGTCCCGTGGAAGTTTTGTGATGAAAGCAAGACATTGTGTTTATTGTATTCATCAGACATGCTAGTTAAATAAAAAGTTTGGTTCCAAGTTGAAATATGGTGCAAATAGTACTTTTGAGCACTGTACAAAGTGGTTGTGGAAAAGGTTGCTAAAATGTCAGAAGGTCATAATGGGAGAGTTGAATATTTAAAGTTATGAACTTTATCCAATTGTGTTTCTCTATTTCATGAAATATTTTATTAAAAGAAAACCCCAAAATATATTTTTTTTAATTAAAAAAATACATATAATGAACACTCCCTCTCTCAAAATGGCAGCTAGCAGACGAATTTAAGCAGATGTAGGTTTTGTGCATTTTGTAAGTATATGATTGCTTCATTTCATCAACTCAATGTAAATCAAGAGTAGTATATACAATGGGGGTTCTGGATCACTTTCAACCAAAGCCTCTGCAAAGCCTTATTTCACAAGTAAGGCTTTGGTCGGGCCCTTAGCTCTTGCTACCATTTCCCCTACTATGAAAAAGTTTGGGCCGATAGCGGTTCTGGATCACTTTCAACCAAAGCCTTATTTCACAAGTAAGGCTTTGGTCGGACCCTTAGCTCTTGCTACCATTACCCCTACTACAAAAGTTGGGGGATGCGAACGCACCTCCTAGCCGCGCTACCGGGGGCATGGCTGGAGTAATGGGGCACCGCTATGCTGGAGGTAACACTGTACCGTACGGTACGATCAATAATTCTTCTCTCACAAACCCCCTACCTGGCCCATCCCTCAAGTAGTACAAGTTAGGCTCGTCTGCTTTGATGTCCACTTTATCTATGTTGTAAGTTTTGACTGACCATATAGGATCGGTGGCTCGCTTACGGCTATCACCCTCGTGTTCCCCCGGCTGGTATAGATACCTCACTAGGGCCCTATCTGGTATCTGTTTCTCCTTCCCACGCAATGGAGCAGCCGACTCTGCAACTATTGATTTTAGTTTGATAGCATCTGCCGGTTTCTTATCAGTGAGCCGGGTGACTTCATGGTTGATTGCCGACACCACCTTGGGTAACCTCACGACCCATTCAGTCGATCGTTTTCCGGGTTACCATCTCCCTCGCATACTGATGGCCGAATAATCGCTCAGCCAAAGTCCTATTAAATCTCTCAACTATGGCTTGGCTGCGATGGGCTCCAGCCGTGCCACGCCTGACCTTTGTATCGTGTTTGGCTAGCAGTTGTGACACGTCACCCATGAACTCCCGTCCGGGGTCAACTTGCAGCTCTGTTGGCCACGCCAGCGGACTCGCGTTTGTATATGCGTTCGAATCCTCTGGCTACCTGGGCCGAATCTTTCGCGGTCAAGGGTTCGGCTTCCTTGTAGCGACTGGCCACATCCACGACTGTTAAGGCATACTTGTACCTCTTGTCGTGGGGTAGGAACAGTAGGTCTGCCTGGTGAACGCTATTAGGTATGTTAATACCGAACCTCCTTCTAGGCACGTAGCGTGGTGCCGGTAAATAGATCTGCCACAGGGCTTGTTTTTCAAGCCACGCTTTGGCCTCCTCCGGGGGTACTCGCGCCATTTTAGCTAGCTTATCTACAGCACTAGCTCCTTTCCAGTACCCACGCGGGCTGTAGTAAATAGCCTCAAACTTTCTCTGGTTTCGTGACATGTCTTGGTTCAATTTTCTCATGTCCATACGCGTACGTGTTTATCCCATCAATAGCTATCCAACGTTTAGTGTCCATAGGCGACAGGGACGTCTTGTTTATAGTCAGTCCGTATATCTTATGCCCATCACTTCTAAGTGTGTTCATTTTATGCCTAAAGGTACGGGTCTTGAACAGGGCTTCCTTGAATCTGGCGTGTTTGATGTGTTGTTTCACCACATACTTCTTAACACCCTTAGCCTTCCGGATTTCACCATTGTCGGCCTTCAGTATGGAGTACATCTTAGGCCTCAACCCTATGTACTCAGCTATGGGCGTGCCAGCACACTCATCCTTCATCTTACCTAGGACCTTTTTATTTACCGTACTGTGTATGGCATGGTCCTTGGGGTAGTCGCTGGTGTCATACAAATCGAGGTGTTTTTTCATGTCCTCGTACACGTCCTCGGTTCGAATCTCCATTAGCAGGGAATCCGTGTCAGTGTACAGCACTTCACACCTGTCGTCGTACTGTTTCTTAAGCTCGTTGTAGTAAAAGTCGTACATCAGGTGTTTGGATAAATCGAGGATGCTCATCCCCACGTAAACAGGCCGGTTGAATTTTATGTGACTTTTCTTCATGTGTAAGGCAACTAGATCATTGGTGAATATTTTGCTACGGTTGAATGCCGGACTGGCTATCAGTCTCCTGAGCTTGTCTTCCTCATTTGACCGAACCAGCTTCACGGTCACGCGTTTCCTCAGGTTTTCCATAGTCTTACCAAACACCGAGTTGTTCATGAGCTTGTAGAGATTTTTCTCAAAGTCACTGGTGGCAAGCTTTCGGAGGTCTGTGTTCATTCTGATGTAAGGCTCCATCCAGGGGCTCTGGGTGAACACGAGCACCCTGTGTATTTTGGTCAGCCTCATACCCAACGACAGGTACAGCTGTAGGTTGCGATAGTGAACGATGTACTTGGTCTTATTCATTAAGTTGGGCACGAGTTTTTCAACGTCTGTCACACGCCCACCTAACAAGTTATGTTGGTACTCAGACATCCAGTCTGGGTTAACCCTCATACGTTCGGGGAGCCAGGGGGTAGCTGTTGTGTGATGTGTGTAATGCCTTGGGGTATTCCAAGTCAACCTCGAGGATATAACCTTTATTCGAATCTGGTGCGATGCTCATAACATCGACCTCCTGTGACGCCCATTCGAACCCCCCTGTGGGTAGATACTGGCTCATGGCCCAGCCATACAGGTTGTTGGCGTCGAGGTAGAGAATGTGATTGGTTGGCTTGCTAGGGTCGTAACCCTTCACGTATTGATTATTTGCTTTCGGCGTATCGCTTGGTTGCCATGGAGATCCCACCTCGCAAAGCCTTTCTCAATGAATAGGTGCATGTCATAATCTGTAAGCAATTCCAACTTAACTCCGGTCTTTTTAAGCAAGGCATCCCACGACAGACCTGGGCTGGTGTAATACCATCGCGGGTCGAGTTTATACTGCTTGAAACACGTCCCGCCTAAACGTCTCAAACACGTCGGCTAACAGCAGTACATCTGTCCTCAAGTACAGGTCATGATAATCCCCAGGTTCTTACAACCCAGTTTATTCCATACATTAATAGCATGTGAGTAATCATCTTGGGATATTTCCGAGTCTGTCAGATTGCTGTAAAATTCTCTGATGGGGGGTAGTCTGGTCTCAGCGAACTTGGGCCAACTATCCATGTACTCATAGGGGTACACACCCTTCCTCATAAGCAGGGGTCTAGTCTCGGTGTCTGTGTATCGGTCGGTGATAGGGAAGGTATCGTTGGCCTTGACCAGACTGTCTAATGAAGACAAGAGAAATTGTACTGAATCTATGAACCTAAGGCCGTTTAAGCTGAAGGAGATGTATCTCTCCATGTTGTTGGGAATGCACGTTATATTACCATCGATTTTCGCGATGGCCTGCATGATTAAGTGAGAGTCGTACCCTCTCAAGTTGTGAAAGACAACGGGGATGTTTATTGTCTTAGGGTTGATTCTAAGCTTGAGGTTACACGTGCTGTGAGCCGCGCCTCTATACTTACCGGTTACGTGACAGTGATCTCTCACCGAATCACCATTCAGTGGTGAGTCACACACGTGACAGTTAGTGCTGCAGGTGTGAGCTAGCCTGTCGTCTTGGGTCATACGCATGGGAGCGACTTTATACAACGCATTCCTAATAATTTTTTCTTCCTCCTGCAAACACTTTAGAAACCTTTCAGCCGCGTCAGGGCCCCTATACACTACGGGAGCTTTCGTTTCCCCATCACAACGGACGACAATGTATCCAAACCCACAGGCTTCATGCTCTTGTGTTTTGTGGGTGAAGCTCTCACCTGTGGGAGCCCCGCCTGTGGGGGTATCCCCAACAACTGGTTTAACCAAGGCTTCAAAGTCGGCGTATATGATATAAGGCACAGACATTTGGTTCTTGTGGTTACCGAATTTTAGGATATTATCACCTTCCTTAGGCATGTCGACTCGTATAGCCGTCTGCCCCACACCTTGACAATCCTCCCGGTGGGATTCTAATAAATCAGCTCGTGTGAAGCCATGTAGGCACCGTTCGCAGAAGTGGGTCTTTTCTCTGTGTGCTGATTGGTCATACAACAGCCTGCTAAAGTGTTTTATCCA